TGTTTGAGTCCTACAACTCTCTCCCAGGTTCGATAATTTGCTGGAATGGCTCACAAAACTCAAGGAAACATGTACTTATATTTACCAGGTAATTATAAAAGGTATCAGAAAGGATACAAATTAGTAATGCAGAGCAGATACATAGCTGGAGGTCTGGAGGGGTTCTCAGGGCAGGAGCTTATGTCACCATCGATGCTGGAGTCAATATCCATCTGACGCTTGGTTCACCAACCAGTAGCCAAATGCAGATACATAGCTGGAGGTCTGGAGGGGTTCTCAGGGCAGGAGCTTATGTCACCATCGATGCTGGAGTCAATATCCATCTGACGCTTGGATGTGTTCACCAACCTGGAAGCTCTCCACTCCATTGTTTAAGGATTTTTATGGAGGCTACCTGACCAGCATTAAATCAGTATCCAACCCTCACTCTTCCTTGCAGAACAGGGTGGGTAGGCAGAAAATCACCAGCTTCTAATCATGGCTTGGTCTTTTTGGTGACCAGCCCCCATCCTGAAGCTATCAAGGAACCCAACAGTTGCTTCATTAAAACAAAAGATGCTCTTGTCACTCAGGAAATTCCAGGGTATTTAAGAGCTCTGTGCCAGAAACGGGGCAGGGTGGTGGGGGGGCGGGCGAGAACACACCCGCCCTCCTCCCACCACCTAGTGCCCCTATTACTCAGGAAATTACAAGAGTTTTTAAGACGGCCGAATGAAACTTTTGCTTTGGCATGAACCAGTGACTGCTGGCTTTGAATCCTGGCCATTATCTGTTGAATGCTGCATGCTAATACAAGTGATTAAATGTTTGTGTCAGATGTTGCTATAACGGTGACAGGCCATTACACAAACTCATGCTCACAACAATTATGCCCTTGTGTTTACACTAATGAACTCAAACTGGCGATCAGAATCTGAGCCTATTTATTAAATGTTTTGGAAATGTCCACTGAGGAATGTCTTTCTTATATGTCTGCATAGCTAGAAAGCTGTAAGATCAAGAAATCAAATGTTATGCCTAGCAGTGGTATCAGTAGTAACACTATTGCAATATGAGCTCAGAATATGAGATCGTTTACTACTGTTCTCAGAGATTTGTAAGTATTAACCCCATTAATCCTAATAACCTTATGAAGCTCCTACCCACAATTTGAATGTTAAAAGAGGATGTAACTGACATATGTAAAAGTTAAGCAAAATCTAAAAGTTACAAATATCTTCTTAATAATTTAACTCTTTAAGGCATAAACTCTGTTGAGGGAAATACACAGGGGCTCTTTGAGAATACAGGTGACCCTTGAACAACACAGGTTTGAACTGTGAGAGTCCACTTATAGCCGGATTTTTTTCAATAAATACAGGTAATGTATTTGCTCTACTTATGATTTTCCTAACAACAATTTTTCTCTAGCTTATTTTATTGTAAGCATTTTGTAGATAATAACATACAAAATATGTGTTAACTGAAGTTTAAGTTACTCATAATATTTGGGGTCAACAGTAGACTACTAGTATTTAAGTTTTGAGGGAGCCAAAGGTTAGACACAGATTTTCTACTGTATGGGGGTTCTGGGCCCCTAAACCAGACATTGTTTAAAGGTCAACGGTACTTCACTCATGGAAGACTTTACTCATCTTGGACATATTTCTTTCTATCCAACTCTTTCTATATAGAGTAAGTATGGAGGCCTCTACATTAGATTTCTCAGGCTAACTTGTAATTGAACAACTTTCTGGTACAAAATAAGACGATAAATGAATATCTTTAATTTTTTTAAAGACAAAATTCTGGTTCCATTGAAAATATGTAGCACTGTTCTTCCAGGGCCTTCCATTTTACTAAAAAAATAAAAAACCCTAGATGTAACACAACAAACAAGCATAGGAAGATTCTGAAGGAGGAAGTTGAAGGCAGACGTGTAGAGACTTAGAGACCTGAAACACAACATGGTGGTGATCGCTGGGTTCCTTATCACTTCCACAAATCCAGGACCACGTTCTACACAAGCCTCTAACCCAGAAACGCCAGAGAGGTAGCCACAGGGAGCTCTCAGAAAAGCCCGATTTCCTAGCCAAGGAACTGGGGAAAAGGTAGCCTTAACAGAACAGAAAATGTTTCAGCAATACCTTCCTTACTCCAAACTAACATCAGTGGAAAGACTGCACCTTACTACATCTAGTTTTTAGTGAGCCCAAGCAGGGAGCTGATCTTCACCCCATCCACCCTCCAGTTACTTTGCTAGGGTAGTGTCAGTGGAGTATAGTGAAGAAGTGAGCTCCACTGTCATCTGGTAGCAATGAAACAATGAAATAGGGCGAATAGTGTTCTGT